AGGCCATGGTCTTTGCAATCAGTTGTTATGCGTCAGAAAGTTGGACAATGACTAGGGAGGATAGAAGGAGAATTGATGCCTTTGAGCTGTGGTGCTGGAAAAGAATACTGAGTGCACCATGGACTGCTACAAACAGATTCATCCTTGAGAGGCTGCTCCTTGGAGGCAAGGATTCTAAGGCTTCATCTGACATACTTAGGTCATGTTGTAAGGAGGGACCGGTTCTTGGAGAGGGACATCATGCTTGGGAGGGTGGAGGGACAGCGCAGGAGAGAAAGGCCCTCTATGAGGTGGATTGATTCAGTGACTGGGGTAATCGGGATGGGTGTGTCAGAGACAGTGCGACTGGCACAGGACAGAGCAGAGTTTAGGGCTGTTGTACATAGGGTCGCTTTGAGTCGCAAGCGACTCGATGGCACATAACAACAACAACAACACAGTGATGAAGAATATGGAATAAACTACATATTGCAAGAATAATGAACAAATTTGTCTTACAAGCATAGCCAGAATGCTCTTCAAAGCAAGGATGGCAAGACATTGCCTCAAAAACTTTAGACATAAAAATCAGGAAGGATTAGTCCTTGAGGAAAGACATCAGGCACTGTTTAAGTGGGAGGTGAGTGAAAAAGAGGAAAACCTTCAACCAAATGGGCTGAAACAATGGCTACAACAATGGGCTCAAATATAAGCAAGGACTGAAGATGACACAAGACTAAGCCATGTTATATTCTGTTGTATATAGGGCTGGTACGAGTTGGAACTGACTTGAAGGCACTTAAAAACCAGAAGTGGAGACAGGTTCTGCCCTGAGAAAGGGACCTAAATTGTTACAGAAAAAGCACATCATGTTTTAAACAAATAGTTGACAGTCTGAACTCAAAGATTCTTTGAAGAAAGATGAGCTCCCTTAACATCGTGGTAAACTACACGTTATTCCAGAATTAATTAATTTGATCTCATTAGTCCTAAGAGTGCTATGTGCATGTGCCATTTAGAAAATAATGAGTACACAGAATTCAGAAAATTCTTGAAAACATAATGGGCAAAGGAGCACGCACACAGAAAGAGCAGATTATACAAGCTTACCTCGGCAAGAAGTCTCTGAACTTTCCATAGAATCTAGCTTTAAAGCATCAAACACCTCAAAATCCGATTTCTTGACATGGATCAAGTTATTAATTGTGCCAAGCTGACTGGTTACTACAGGCTGAAAGAGTGGATGCAAACAACAATGAATTCCTTTCTTTCAAATTAATCTCTTCCATCCAACCCTCCTCTTGATAAAATTTAAAAATTCTATTAGGCACCTCCATCTTTTATCAAGAGGGAATCCTCCAGTGTAGGGGAGCAGTCATCCGTTAGTCTTGACAGCAAGGGCGTTTGACACAAAGGGGAATGACCACTAAAACGACATCAAGGCCTTACCTCTGATGGGTCATGAACCCACTGTCCATCTACGAAGAACTTATACTGGTGCTCTCCTTCAGGAAGGTCCAGGATGGCAACAAAATCATTATGGCTACAAAAGAAAACAGAAAGTCAGACTACAACTTTAGTATTTAAGTCATAACTGGAGGAAGACTAAAGAGGTTGATGCTCCAAAATGGTTTACAAAATAGTACAACTATTTTGCCTTCATCAACACAGACCCTTCTTAAGTGTAAATAAGATAATCAGTAGGTTCAAATACTGAAGTACCTCAAGGTATTGTCCATATTTGGGTGAGCCTTCTGGGAAACCACAAACACAAAGGCTTTTCTGATAACCAGTTAAATAATTCATTATCCTCTACAACAAACAGCCAGTATCACTATGAAGAATTTTTTTTAACTTGTATTTGTTTGCTTACAAAGTTCATATACATTGTGTTTCACACTGTGCATCATTCATATTGTTTCATACAATCATTCTCATTCACTATGTTTTATAAAAGTAATCACCACTGAATTATGCCCATCATTACTGTGTCTTTCCAAATCCCCGCCAGATCTTTCCCTCCACCCATCAAACTGTGCAACCCTATGATTTCGCTTCTGCCCATCCTCACCCCTTTTGTCCCCTCCTGCCCCCCTTGGATTCTCATAAACATTTTACTAGTTACCTTTCTATTTCTACAGTAATGTCTTATGCAGTACATTTAGCATCATGCTCTCCAGTTCCTCCCAAGTAGTAATTTTCAAAATCATTGCTCCTTAGTGCAGCCTATATAGTATTCCATCATATTATACCACAATTTCTCAATCTATTGAATTGTGGTTAGTCATCTGGGCTGTTTCTACATTCTTGTGATGGTGAATAACACTACTATGGATGAGAAACACTGCTATAAATATTGGTGTACAAATCTCCTTTTGTGCTCTGTTCTAATCTTCTTAGGGTATATTCCTAGCAGTGGAATAGCTGAGTCATATGGAATATCTATATTCAGTTTGTTTAGGAAACACCAAACTGCCTTCCAGAGTGGCTGTATACCATCTTACAATCCCACCAACAATGTATGAGAGTTCCTATCTCTGGCATCCTTTCCAACAGTTATTACTTGCTGTCCTGTTAAACTTTGCCACTGCTACTGGGGTGAAATGATGTCTCACTGGTTTTAATCCGCATCTCTCTTACTGCCGGTGATTCTGAGTATTTCTTCATGTGTCTATACTACTAAGAAATTTCATAATATGTTTTCCTTTTATGCAGAATTCAGAGCAAGTGGACGATACACAGACCTTCTGCAAAGATAGAAAGGACTTGTGCTAACATAGTCCTAAAGAATATATTCATTTTAAATTTTAAGCTCCTCTAAGGCAATGTTATTCTATAAGGTAAGATATTTCAGACTCACTAAGCGGGTATTTTTTAAAAAACAACCAAGATGATTTAAGAAAGGAAATAACATCTCTATTCTTGGACCCTATAGGGCTGGGTTTTGTGGGGTTTTTTTTAACCTTTTAATTAGTGGAATCTTCGTGCTCCAATTGTTGAAGGATCCAGAGATGAAGACTTCCTTGCCTCCTTCAGACCAGCGAATAACAGTGGGCCGAGCCTGCTGTGCGGGCTTTACAGCGTCCTCCAACTCTTGCTGCCATGATACAAACTCTTTGTCCCCGGGGAGCTGTAAGAAGAATTAGATTACCTCTACGATAAAGTGTTACCGAAGGATTTTTCAAATGTCTTTCTCCTTTTAAGACTGAACTGTATCTTCCAAAAAGATATGTTAAGGTGCTAGCCCTGATTCCAATGATCTGTTGACGTGGCATCATTTTGGGAAATGGGGTCTTTCTTTGAAAATTTTATTAGTTAAGTCACATGAGAGTGAACTAAGTCTTGGTTCTAATACGTTCTGCGTATTTTACAAAGTGGGAGGGCAGATGTGAAAACAACAGTCACAGACTGAGGGAAGCTATCATGTAAGTATCTGTCTTTAAATACAAACAAGAATTGCCAGTAGCAGTCAGGATGAAGGAGAAAAGCATCAACAGCACCACCCTCAAAGCCTTAGAAGAAACTGACAGTCCAGATTCTGATTTCGACTGCTAATTTCCAGGCATGTAAGATAATAAACTTTTTTCTTTTTAAGCCTCAACTTATAAGTTCTATGGTTATAAAGGTTTCTTGTATGATGGGACTAGGAAACTAAAATACCTTTCTAGGGCAGAGAGGGTGGTGGTTAGCAACTAAATTAGTTTTTAACATACTATAGATTGAGAAGCGTTCTATATTTTTATAATTGGGATGGGAGTGTCGGACACAGTGCGATTGGCACAGGACAGAGCAGAGTTTAGGGCTGTTGTACATAGAGTCGCTATGAGTCGCAAGCGACTCGACGGCACATAATAACAACAACAACATAGATTGAGATTGTTCACAGCTTTAGTTTACTTGGCTCCACAATCAACACTCTTGGCACCAGCATCCGGGAAATTAAAAGATGTATTGCCATGGGAAAGTCTGCTGTTAGGGACCTCTCTAAAGTACTCAAGAGCAATGGTGTGTCTCTGGAGACAAAGGTGCATCTGGTACAGGCCATGGTCTTTGCAATCACTTGTTATGCACCAGAGAGCTGGACAATGACCAAGTAGGATAGAAGAATTGATGCCTTTGAGCTTTGGTGTTGGAGAAGAGTGCTAAGGGTACCATGGATTGCTAAGAGAACAAACAGATTCAACCTGGAGAGGGTTAAACCAGGCTGCTCCTTGGAGGCAAGGATTCTGAGGCTTTGTCTGACATACTTTGGTCATGTTGTAAGGAGAGACCGGTCCTTGGAGAGGGACATCTTGTTTGGGAGGGTGGAGGGCAGGCGCCGGAGGGGAAGGCCCTCTGGGAGGCGGACTGATTCAGTGACTGGGGTAATCGGGATGAGTGGGTTGGAGGCAATGAGATTGGCACAGGACAGAACAGAGTTTAGAGCTGTTGTACATAAGGTCGCTATGAGTTGCAAGCGACTCGATGGCACATAACAACAACAACAACAACAACAGACCAAAGTCTAGTAATAAGAAATGTGCTGCAATCCCAAAGGCAAGTGGTTTGGATCCACCTGTAGCCCTGCAGAAGAACCAATTTCCTCATGCAATTTACTGCCTCTGAAAACCTGCTGGAACGTCGGCTATGGGTCGGTTCTGACTTGACAGCACACACACCACCACCATACATAAAATAACACATCTAGGATGAAAAATGGACAAACAGCTTAGGCTCAATCATTAGCCAACTCAAAGTACAACTTCCATGTCTGAAACAATCCCTCATCTCATTCTTTTGGAGCTATTATTATTATTATTATTATTATTTTTTAATGTGTGTACCGTCAAATCAGATTTGACTGGTACAGAAGGAGACAGTTTCTCCTTTTCCAGCAGAGCATCTGGTGGATTCGAATCACATACCTCTGGGATAGCAGCCCAGCTTTTTGCCACTAGGCCACTAGAGCTCCCTGGAGCCATTCTTTTTAGTAGCCATTGAGTTGATTCCAACTCATGGTACTCTGTGGATTAGAACGGCTCCACGGAGTTCTTGAAACTGACTTTTCAAAAGCAGATCACCAGGCTTATCCTCCAAGATTCCTCTGGGTCAATCTGAACACCAACTTTTGGTTTTTTATGCCACTCAGGAAGTTGTCTTTTCTTTTAATAGAGATTTATCAATGAGTTACCAATTTAACTCATAGGAAGGAAGGAGAAAGCACATAAAAAGACTATATATAAAAAATATGACCCATGTTTATAGAGGTAAATATTAAGTGCTCTCAATTATCAGTTGTAATAAAAGTCAAGGATACTTAAATTCCCAAGTTCTTCACAAAGTCTATTTCAGTAAGAGGTTATGGAATGAACATTCAAAATTAAAGGACCAGATTACAGATGTTTTTAAAATTTGAGATGTGGCTATGAAATCTTAATTGCTCACCATGCAAGGTTAATAGCAACTCTTTCAAGAGTCTGAAGCCTCAAGGTGCAAAAGATCAAAAATGCTTCTTTTAACTGAAGCAGTTTCAATGTCAAATGAAATATGGTGGTGGTGCTGTTGAGTATGGCTCAGTCACCCTATGAACAACAAATCTTAACCCTGTGCTATCCTGCACCATCCTCATCAGCTCTGACATACGTGAGCCCATTGCAGCAGTCACTGTGTCAATCTATCTCATTGAGGGTCTTCATTTCTTCCACCTTTCCAAGCATGATGTCCTGTTCCACACAAAAGACCTACGTAACAACATTCCCAAAGTTTGTGAGATGAAGTTTTGCCATCCTTGCCTTTTAAGGAGCACTCTGGCTGCACCTTCTCCAAAGTATAATTATTTATTTCTTCTTTTGGCAGTCCATGGGACATTAAGTACTTTTTTCCAACACCACAAGTCAAAGGCATTGATTCTTCTTCCATCATTTTTATTCACATATAAGTCCAGCTCTCAGCTGTGTAAAGTTCATGGCTTGAATCTGGTGCAATTTCATCTTCAGACTGACCTCACTGCTCCTTAATACTTTGGAGAGGTCTTTGAGAGGAGACTCCCGATGTAATAGATCTTACGGTTTCTTGACTGCTGGTAGGCAAGGTTGTTAATTGTGGATCCAAACAAGATGTAATCACTGACAACTGCAGTCTTTTTCTCCAATTAGCAAGGGGTTTTGTTTTCTTGATGTGAAAATGTAACCCATCTTGAAGGCTGTAGTCTTTGACCTCCTGCAGAAAGTACTCAAAGTCCTCCTCACTTTCAGCAAACAAGGCTGTATCATCTGTATAGTGCAGGCTGTTGATGAGTTTTCCTCCAAACCTGATGCTACATTTTTCTTCATAGAGTCCAGTTTCTCAAATGATTTGCTTAACATGTTGTTTTGTGCCGTCGAGTCATTTGCGACTCATAGTGACCTTATGTACAACAGCCCTAAACCCTGCTCTATCCTGTGCCAATCGCATTGCCTCTGACACACCCATCCCGAGTACCCCAGTCACTGAATCAATCCACCTCATAGAGGGCCTTCCCCTCCTGCGCTGTCCCTCCACCCTACCAAGCATGATGTCCCTCTCCAAGGACCTGTCTCTCCTTACAACATGTCCAAAGAATGTCAGACGAAGCCACAGAATCCTTGCCCCCAAGGAGTAGCCTGGTTTAACCATCTCTAGGATGGATCTGTAGAGACTGGAATAAGTATGGAAAATGAATACAACTCCGATACATTCCTTTCTTGATTTTAAACCATTCAGTGTTCATGTGCTCTGTTCAAACAACAGTTTCTTGGTCTAGGTATAGATTTCGCATGAACAAAATTAAGTGTTCTGAGATTCCCATTCATCTTAATGTTAGCCATAGTTTGTTATGATCCACACAGCCAAATGCCTTTGTACAATCAACAAAAACAAATAGACATTCTTCTAGTATTCTCCACTTTCTGCCAAGATCCACCAGCCATCAGCAATGATATCCCACTGGTACAGCCTCTTCTAAATCCAGGATGAACTTCTGGCAGTTCTTTGTTAATGTACTGTTGTTTTTGGATTATCTTCAGCAATATTTTGTTTGCATGCAATATTAATGATATTGTTTGATAATTTCTTCATTCTGTTGGATCACCTTTCTGGGGAATGGAAACAAATATGCATCTATTCCAACCAGTTGGTCAGTCAGTTGCCTTCTATATTTCCTGGCATAGACTGGCAAGGACATTCAGGGCTGCATCTGCTAGTTAAAACATGTCAATTGGTATCCCACTGACTCCTGGGGTCTTATTTCTTTGCCTATGCCTTCAATGTAACTTGAACATCTTCCTTCACTGCCATTGGCTCTTGATCATATGTTACTTCTTGAAAGAATTCTCTGTTGACCAATTCATTTTGGTACAGTGACTGTGTATTCCCTCAATCTTATCCCCTTCTGCCCCTAATTTTTTTTTCATGCTTCCTCAATCATTCAAGAATTTGCCCATGGCATCTCTCAGTATTAAAACTTGAGGCTTGAATTTGTTCTTCAGTTCTTTCAGCTTGAGAAATATCTACCTGGCCAGAAAGGTAGTTCTTTCCTTTTATTCTCTGACATCAGCTCTGCACATTACATTTAATACTTTGTCTTTTCATGCTGTCCATTGAAATCTGTCCGTCTCTTTCACCTCTGCACCTCTTCCCTTTGGTAGCTTGTTGATGAGTCTTCCTCTAATCTCAATGCTACATTCTTCCTCACATAGAGCAGATTCTTTAATTTTTCAGCATACAAAATGACTAGGTATGGAGGAAGGATATAACCTTGATACACACTATTCCTGACTTTAAACCATGGAGCACTCTGGAAAAGTATTTTTTAAAAAGTTTTCCAGCAGAAAAAATTAAGGCCAGCTGGCAAAATATAATCCACAAAGTCATTTTCTACAGTCTACTTTAGTATATAACAACTGGGGTCTTAACAGCTTGTGAGTGGCCATCTATGGTACAACTACTGACCACTCCTTGTCCAGAACAAAGATGAGGGATAAAGTAGAAGGTGTATAGAAACAATTAGGTCAAAGGACCAATGGACCACATGAACCTCAACCTCCATGGCTCTAAGACCATAACTAGATGATGCCTGCTGACCACTCTAAAATGGATCACAGTATTAGGTCCTGGATAGAGTGAATAATGCAA